ACCCTCAACGTATTCGTGTTTTCCCCCCCAAAAGAAACAAGGAATGAATCAGGCACCATATATCTAAATTATGTTTTATAGTTGAACAATTAATGTTTACATCAGCAATTAAAAAGAATACATCACAACAGTAGATGGATGAGATGAAAACAAGACTTTGTTTTTATTATCTTGTGGTGCACAATGGTATACAGTTCTGGCACCTTATGAGGACAAATTTTTTTTCTCTTCAAAAATGACAATTTTACTGTTCTTTAGATTCATGGGCCACTTCAGGTCAGTTGAGATCCACATACCTGAAACCTGTGAACTTCGGGTCTGTTAGTTTATGTGTCTGCTTATTTCTTCTTCTTCGCCTTCACCAGCTGTAAACTCTGGCGGAAAGTTCTGGTTGTTCGTCCACTTCTGGATTGCAGTCCTGTTCCAGAACCTGAGTGTTGTGTGTGCATCCGTTTTACAGATCTGACTCATTGGCATACAGACTGCTGGTTCCTTGCCCCTCAGGCAGATGCACTCCGACTTCGAAGGAAGCTCCCAATTAGTCGACTCTTACGACATGCTTTTGGGTAGGCAGTGGGTCTATTCTTGTTTTCCCTATAACAGGGTCCCGGAACCCACACGGGTATCTGCTTATTCAAAAAGCTTGAAGGTGTGGACAAGATCCTTTACTTATTTAAAAAGAAACACGTCAGCGTAGTAGATGGATAAGGTGAAAACAAGATCTTCTTTTCTGGCTAGCAATGGATGCAGTAGAGGCATCTTTTCCTTTGAGGGCTGGAGAGGGGAACAAAACTGTTTTCAAGACCTACAATTGTATTTCCCTAATTCACGCCCAGTATAACTTTGTTGAAATTTGTTAACCTCAAACCTACTAGCTTCGAGTTTGTTAGCTTGTGCAATACCAGTGTGCTACCGTAGCTAGTATGGTCTATTTTGCAGTAGAAAAAAATCAGTGAGTAGTCTAGAGTAAATGAGGGTTCATTAAAGAATATGTCAGAAGTGTGGGTAATACTGTAAGACACTTCCAACTTCGCAGTGCCCTCTTTAGGGTCAAAATTTATAAACATAAGGTCTCCTCTCAGTGGACTCAAATTCTAATCTCTAGCCAAACAAGTGATCTGCTGATATATAACTTTCCTACTGAATCAGAACCATGTTAAATTCTGAAAAGAAGAAAAAGAAAAAAAAAAACCCACCATGATGTGGCTCTGAACCCTTCACCTTTGGCTCAGGAGGCTAGCATCTAGCTACTATGATACCACAGATCCCTGACTTCTGTTAATATCCCGAAAATGTCTTTATCTAATAAGAGGTATCACTACACCAAGATTTCTTCTGCTTCTTCGCGTTCACTGGCTGTAAACTGTGGCGGAAAGTTCTGGTTGTTTGTCCACCTCTGGACTTTAGTCTTGTTCCAGAACCTAAGTGTTATGTACGCTTCCAATTAACACAGCAGCTTTCAACCTAGAGGTTGCGACCCTTTCGGGGTCGAAGGGGGGTGGGGGGGTTGCCTTACCTAAGACCACCGAAAGTTCACTGAAGTTATGAAGAAGCAACAAAAATAACTTTATGGCTGGGGGTCGCCACAACATTAGAAACTGTATTAAAGGATCGCCACATTAGAACAATTGGTTCTAAACCACTGGTTTAACAGATCTGACTTAAATGTGTGCAGATTAATGGCACCTTGAATCTCACGCAGAAGCACTCTGACTTCAAAGGAAGCCCCCAATTAATTTACTCTTACGGGGAGGCAGTGGGTGTATTCTTGTTTTCCCCACACAGGGAACGTCAGTAATTGAGAAATGTGGAAAGACATGAATATCATATTTTCCTACGTATAAGATAATATGCTTTCCCAAATTTGTTAACATTAAAATCAGGGGTCATCCCATACATGCAATGTGATTAAAGTATTTATTTTTTAATTTTAAGGTTAAAAAAAAAAAAAAATAGCGATCAACTTATACATGGGGGCATCTTACACTAGAAAAAAAAGGTACCTAGCACATCTTTGCCAAGGCACTCGATCCCACCATGTAAACTGATTTTAACTGGGGACCATTAAGCTATGAACTACCCTGATGTATTGTTGTGCACAAGCAGCCATGGTGTAGTGGCTAGGTGCACACCTGCGGATCAAAAAGTAGCATGTTTGGGTCCTGAAGAGCCACATTTTTCAGAAATGACTTCGGCTCCCAGGTCGACGGAACCTTGATTGGGTAAAAGGTTAAGTCCTGGGAAGTTAAGCCTTGATTGGGTAAAAGGTTAAGTCCTGGGAAGTTAAGCCTTGATTGGGTAAAAGGTTAAGTCCTGGGAAGTTAAGCCTTGATTGGGTAAAAGGTTAAGTCCTGAGAAGTTGAGCCTTGATTGGGTAAAAGGTTAAGTCCTGGGAAGTTAAGCCTTGATTGGGTAAAAGGTTAAGTCCTGGGAAGTTGAGCCTTGATTGGGTAAAAGGTTAAGTCCTGGGAAATTAAGCCTTGATTGAGTTAAAGGTTAGGTCCTGGGAAGTTAAGCCTTGATTGGGTAAAAGGTTAAGTCCTGGGAAGTTAAGCCTTGATTGGGTAAAAGGTTAAGTCCTGGGAAGTTAAGCCTTGATTGGGTAAAAGGTTAAGTCCTGAGAAGTTGAGCCTTGATTGGGTAAAAGGTTAAGTCCTGGGAAGTTGAGCCTTGATTGGGTAAAAGGTTAAGTCCTGGGAAGTTGAGCCTTGATTAGGTAAAAGGTTAAGTCCTGGGAAATTAAGCCTTGATTGAGTTAAAGGTTAAATCCTGGGAAGTTAAGCCTTGATTGGGTAAAAGGTTAAGTCCTGGGAAGTTAAGCCTTGATTGAGTTAAAGGTTAAATCCTGGGAAGTTAAGCCTTGACTGGGTAAAAGGTTAAGTCCTGGGAAGTTTAGCCTTGACTGGGTAAAAGGTTAAGTCCTGGAAAGTTAAGCCTTGACTGGGTAAAAGGTTAAGTCCTGGGAAGTTAAGCCTTGACTGGGTAAAAGGTTAAGTCCTGGGAAGTTAAGCCTTGACTGGGTAAAAGGTTAAGTCCTGGGAAGTTAAGCCTTGACTGGGTAAAAGGTTAAGTCCTGGGAAATTAAGCCTTGACTGGGTAAAAGGTTAAGTCCTGGGAAGTTGAGCCTTGATTGGGTAAAAGGTTAAGTCCTGGGAAGTTGAGCCTTGATTGGGTAAAAGGTTAAGTCCTGGGAAGTTGAGCCTTGATTGGGTAAAAGGTTAAGTCCTGGGAAGTTAAGCCTTGACTGGGTAAAAGGTTAAGTCCTGGGATGTTAAGCCTTGACTGGGTAAAAGGTCAAGTCCTGGGAAGTTAAGCCTTGACTGGGTAAAAGGTCAAGTCCTGGGAAGTTAAGCCTTGACTGGGTAAAAGGTTAAGTCCTGGGAAGTTAAGCCGACCAGCAGGATGCTGACCACATCACCCACCAACTAGTCAATAAAATATTGGTCTAGCCCTATATGCCCAATACGCCTGAAGGTGGAGAAAAGGCTTTTTTATACTGCTCTACTTTTATTACAATTCTGCTCTATAATCAGTCATTTCTTAGCTGAACATGAAACAGTGCCTGTTTTTCTCTCTCTGGCTGCTACCCCCGGTGACCCAACGAGTCACACTGCAGATGCCAATCCAACAAGATAAACTAACATACCCTGTTTTACCCCCCAAATAAGTTAAACTTTAGACACCTTTAACAACTACTTCCAATACTTCTCCAGTGTAACCCACTGTCCCAGTTTGGTAGTAAGTTGAAGTCTATGCGTAGGCAGAGACTGACTGACTAGTTTTTCCTTTCTAGGGCTGCCACCTGAAAGTTTAACCACCCCTGCCATTCCAAGAGCCACATCCTAGATCACAGATTTTCAACTAAGTTTACTCAGGGGCCCGAATGTTCAAAATGGGTATCATTACGCGCCAGAGACCTGATCCACGGCACAGAAGGATCATTAAGTCAATAATCTGCAGGCCACTTGCTAGGCCTCCGTGAGCCAGATTTCGCCCATGGGCCGCCACTTGAACAGCCCTGTCCTAGATAAAAACATCCAACCGGACATATTCCAGTTCCACTCCAATAAAGTTATATTAGTTCACCCCTACTTACTGCAGCAGATGCTAAACTGCAGTCCTGAAAGGGTATAGTGCCTTGTTTGTTTCTTCCCTCCAGAGGATATCCCTGGATGGAAAACCCTATTCGACTCCAAGGAAGTTATGTCAAAGCACCCATGAAAGCCATGTATTCTGCTGTGGTCAAGAACAAAAGACGGTTCCCTGTCAGAGGTTCGTCCCATCCAGAACTGCAATTTGCAGGATTTACACATCATAGGTGTTAGAATCCTAAATGTACCAATCCAGGTAAGTCCTGTACAACCATAAGTAGATATTAGGACCCCCCAGCAGCTAAAAAGTGACCTAAAAAAACCAAACAGAGCAGACAGGGACTGCTGTATGTGAGTGAAGTTGAACCCCACCATGACAGCACACTGAGCAATTAACACCTGGTGATGCAAAGTGCAAGTGTCACTATTCAGATGAGAATTCCCCCAGGTACAAATCCAAGAAACCACATTCAACTGTAAAGTTACATTGGGGTCCCTAATAGTTACCACACACACACATATAAAAACAGAAATCCAGACAGGATAGGGCTTGCAAAATTCAAATACCAACATTTCTGTATGTGTCTAAATGACTGGAATCCTCAATTAGTAACTAAGTAAGTAAATATTACCCCACCAGGACATCACACAGAGCAATAAATGACTGGTGACACAAAGTGCCATGGTGCGGAGAAGGATCACACCTGTGGAGAGGTCCCAGAAACCATGTTCAGCCTTCAGGCAATATCGCGCCCCCCGGCAAAAGCCAGGGTGGGTCTTCAAAATAACGAAAAATCGCGCCCCATATGGAATAACTTGAATCCTCAATCAAAATGGCAGGCTTATATACATGTTCCATATGTGATTGATTTGAACACATTATGAACACTTTGAGGTGGTTATGACTTATCACTGACTGATTATCTTTCCTGCCTGACTCCGGGTCTGTCTGTCCCACTTGAACTGCTCTCCACCTTCACTGGGTCCATATCTCTTGGAACACTCTCTTGGCTTATCACTTCCAGCATTAATATTTGATTTATTTCCCTTAGACTGTCCATAATTATCTCCCTGTTCATGTTTCGTGATTTTGTCAGTCTCCACCTGCTCTTCTGTGTACATTCTCCAGCTCAGGCTGGAATCCTCCAGGCGGGTACTTGAGGATTCACAGTCTTGAACTGTCACACCCGAGTTCCCAGTTGATGAAACAGAGACAATATTTCCTTCTATTTTCAGAGACTTTGCTGAGGGCTCACTGCTAGCTTCAGATATGTTGGTTCTCTTTCTGTGAAGGCTGTATTTTTTGTGCTTGTAAAATGGCTCTTCTTCAATCCCTGCAGGCGATGGTGCCCGAGAGCCATTTAATGACTCTCTCCCTGATGAATTAGATTCCATTTCCTCTTTGTTATCATACCTGACGTTACCTGTGTTGTCATTCGGTCTGCTTTGTTTGATAATGCTATTCTTATTGTCCTGCCCCGGACTACCTTCCCCTAGATTGTTACTTGCTCTGACAAAATCTTGATTATCTCTCTGGAATGTGCCTCCACCTTGTGAGGCATCAAGGAAGAGTTTAGCTTCATCATAGCTGCTATCAGGACTGGCTGTTGTAACAACAGCATCTGCTGGTAACTTCTGTATCTCTAAGCCTTTGGGAGTGTGAACTGTCAGCATGTAAGCATTTTCTGCTGTCTTGCTGTATCGAGGAAGCTTAGGCATGATAAGGGGTTGATTTACTGATGCAGACTGGGTTATGGATGTACATTTAATCATCATCTGTGGTTCTGCCAGTGGAGTTGTGCTGTGTCTTGATGGCGACGGAGTTGCACTATGGCTCGATGCAGAAGCACCAACTGTCTGACGCAGTGAAGATGGTGATTCCATTACAGACCAGTCAGGGAATGACGACGATCGTTTGAGTTTACTCATGTCAGTCAAGGCTAGTGGTTCTGACTTCCTCAAAGGCTCTGAAGCGCTGTCATTAGGTGTAAGACTCTGCTTACCTTCGCTGACACAGGTTACCCCATGAGCAGTCTGTAGATGTTCAGCCAAATAATTAGCCGAAGAGAACAGAGTGTGACAGATGGCACATACACTAGGAGTGAAGCCGCTATGGGTAGCCTGGTGCTCTTGCAGGTGTGCAGGTTCTGAAAAGGATCTCTCACACTCATGGCAGGCATATGGGCCAGAACTACGACTGAGACTATGCTGTCGACAGTGCCTCTTGTAAGAGCCAAAGTCATTCAGCTGGAAGCTTTGTCCACATTCTGGGCACTCCAAGTATTTGGTAATGCCAAGACTGTCCTTTTTAATACTCAATTTAGTTTCTTCACAGAGAAGAGGGCTCTCCAATCGCTCCCTAGATACAGCTGGTGTAGTTCCTGCCGCAAGGGATTTCACAGACTGGGTATGTGGGCTGTGATCATTATTTGAAGCCTTCTCCATCTGAACAGACCTAAGTGGTTTTCCAGTGGAGTCAAAAGACTCCATGTTACCCAAAATGACATTTGATGACGCAGTAGGTGTCATAGCTAGATCTAATGATCCTGCTGGATTCTCACTACCAGCATCTAAAGATCCTACAAATGACACTGTCACATCTGATGATCCTGTATGCGCCATGGCAGTTTTGGTTGCTGAAATTGTTTGCACAATAGTGTGGTCAGCTTTAGGCTCAAATCCATGCTGATTTCTAAAATGTTTTCTAAAGCAGTAGGGGCTTCCATAAGTCTGTCTACACAGTCGACAGATCAGATAAAGGATGTCGCTAGGTGGGTGTTTACCAATGATGTTCTGAATTGGTTCATGCTTGCAGGCATTCAGCTTCTGGCTATCATCAGGTGAAGGAGAACTCTCTGGACAAGGAGAAGCAGCAAATGCTGAATCTGTGGCTGTAAAAGGTTTATTTTCACTTTCAGGGCCCACTCTTGAATGCACCTGGGAACTAGCTGGAGATATGGTTCTGGACACTTGAAACTGATTCTGAGTGCTGTGGTCCTGCTGAATATGGTGAGATGTAATTAGATTTTTGGGGATATTCTGCTGCGGCACCAAGCTGGGATACCTGCGTCGGTCTTCACTGGACTGTGTGTTACTTGGATGACAATGTGGTTGTGAAACTGGTGGCATCTGCCCCATGGCAGCAGCCGTGTGGTGTGTGTAGCTAACATCAGAATGGACTGAATGAATGTTGTGGTCACGAGAGTGTGGTTCCGAGTAATGACTTTCGGAGTGGGAGTAATGCTGAAGCTGCCCACCCCATGCTTCTGGAGGGGTCTGGTGTGTCGGAGACAGCTGAGCTATCTTCGGTCGCTGCTGACGAAGCTGTGAGTGATGGGGGTATGGTGACGACATGGGAAACTGGGCTTCAGGGCGCTGGTGGGAGAGGAATCTATCAACGCTGTTTTCCAGTCTCTGCAGGTGATGTCCACTTGCTGATCCCTGTTCATGCTCCACATAATGGCCGTGACCTCCAGGATTTGGGCCAGAGCCTGGCCACCTAAAAAAAAAAAAAATCATGAACTGGATAATAAAGAATAATATACAGGTCATATATAATTCAAATGTTAAAAAATACTGTTGTCTTTCTGTTATGATATGTTCTGTTATCCCAATCGATGTCTCTGCACACTGGGCATCCCCATGCGTGCTCAGTCCTCCGATGCAGTAGCCACTCAATTATACCTCTACTGATTGTTTCCATGAGGAGTTATTATATCTCCTGTCTTTACTCGAAGGCGGCATCACCGTGCTTCACCAAGCTCAACTCCTCAGTCACGCAGTTATGTTAGTGTCATAGACTCGCCATCACCAACTAACTTAGTATGTACAGTGTTGATGATGTAAGCTCTGTCCATGCTTTTTTCCAACCCATTCTCTTCTTCCCATGTTATGTCTCTGTTTCTCTGTAGGGTGGGCAGGGAAAGTCACGGACAATGATTTCAAAATCAGGTCCTAGAATTACTCATACTGACTATATTAAAAAAAAAAAAAAATTCCTAATGAAAATAACGATAAAGAAACAGGGACGATCAAAACATTGCTACTAAGTTGGTTGCATATTATTTTACAATTACAGGACGTTGCTGAACCAACGTCAGAATTCTGTTTGTGTTTTTGTGTGGATTTTACCATTAAATTTTACACTCAGTACATTGCCACTGCTTTCTGCACAGTAGATTTTCGACACCACTGTTGAAAGCAATGCAAAGCAGTCTGCTACCAAATCACCCGCAGCTGGGATCAAACCCAGAACCTTGGAATTACAACAAACATTACACTATTACCATCATTTAAACCAGTGTTTCTCAAAGTGGATGCTACTTCCGGAGGGAAAGGGGAGTGGGATGGGGCAGGAGAGGGAGAACTCTGGGACAGCAGGAGCCTCCAATGCAGTTAAGGATTAAATTCGTATACTAATTTTTAAACTATCTTTAGTCTCTCTCATCAATGGCTGTCTTAGGGTTTCTTTGGGATGTCCTTGCTTCCCCAATCCATCTGTTTCCCATTTAAGTGCCTGTCTCTTCCCTTCTCCTCAGGATGTTCTCAATACATCACTATCTTTGTTTTATGGCTGTCAATATCAGCGGTTTTTCAGATATTTCTCTTATTTCTACACCTTTCTTGAATTCACTCCATTTAGGGTTTCATTTTATTAGGCGTTTATTTTCAATTGCATTGAAATTGTTCTCCCTGTCTTTAGTGGTTCTCCGAGTATTAGCATGGGAGCGTTTATTTTCAATTGCATTAAAATTTGTCTCCGTCTTAAGTGGTTCTCCAAGTATATTAGTATGGGACTATCTTTACTATTTCTAAGTACAGAGGGGGGAAAAAGAGCCACTAAAGTAGCGTTTTTTCCCCTTAAGTATGCTGTGATGAAATTTAAAGGGGACTGTGTGGTCTCGAGGCAGACACCATGCCTCGAGTGCTAGAGGTTCCAGGTTCAATCCCTGGTAGGGCTGGGATTTTTCCACGTGAACTTGGACTTCTAGTAATTCCCCCTGGTTTTTGGGTAGTGAGATTGAACACCCGTGTGCACTGTTGCGTACGTTAAAAAAAAGAAATCCCCTGGCAGTTGGAAAATCAAAAAGCGTAGCCTAACGGTGCTGCCTAGACCAAATTTGGACTTTAAAATTTACCCAAAGTATTTCAGGATCCTCGCTGAGCCTGTGCACTGTGCTGAGCTTCTTCGGACTCAGACTTGAGTTAGAAGAAGAACAGAGTACTTATAGGTTACTACCCTTGTGCCATGATGTTGATCCTTTGTTCAAAAACCTCCCCTCCCCCCCCCCCCCCAAAAAAAAACACACTTCAAAAGACAAAAATTAAAAAAACAAAAAACAAAACAAGAGAACCCATTAGACGACTGGGATTAGATGGCCTGACAGAAACTACACCATAAGACGGCATACAAGAGATATATACACACCTTAACAGGATTCAGGCTAACAAATATAATAGATACCCGACCATCCACTAAAACAAAAAAAGCAAAACAGCCAAGAGCATGGTAAGAGCATGCACAAGATACAGCAATGTTATGAGCAATTTTGGGGGAAATGGAGATAAGACTTACAAAGCACGCTAGGAAGAGCTCATAAAAGATAATTATCCCTCTAAAAATTTCACAGGGGTAACAGCAACACATAGGGAGAACAGCAGCAGCAGCAGAAGAAGGCAGGGGAAAGGGAGGAGGAGGAGATGAGGAGATATCAGGATTGCAGATACACACATACACACACCCCCTGCCTGTCATTTACATCATCATCATAAACCACTTCTGCTGCTAAGCGATCCAGTGTGCACGCTAGCTGCCACTGGCTACTGTTATGCCGTAAAGGTGTAGAGTGTCTTAAATGATGTCAACCCATCTTTTCCGAGGGCGACCTCTTGTTCGTGTAGCTGATTTTCTGAGATGTAGTGCTTGTGATGGTATTTGATCTTGCTGCATTCCAACAAGACGGACAAACTACTTGTTTTGCTGTTTCGCGATGAATCTAGTACAAGGTGTCGTTCCCACAATTTGCCTGATAGTTTATCACTTGATCTCGGATGGTAAGGTTAGCAGTTTTCTCAGGCATCTCATCTTGCAGGTGGTGATTTTGCGTATATAGGCTTTAGATAGTGTCCATGTTTGGCACTGGTAGCTTAATGTTGGAATGAATATGCTGTTTATAATCTGTTTACGTCGACAATTAGTGCATTTGCAGAAATCAGATATGTAGGGCAGAAAGGCCTGTGAAAACAGCTATTTTGACAGTGAATACAGAAAAAGAAGTGAACTATAAGAATATTCTCTGAAGCCTGAAGACACTTGCTATCACTGTTTAAAAAACAAACAAAAATAAACAGAAATAAACAGCAGAGACTATGGCAAGGAATTATGAAGACAAATCAAAAGAATGCAAAGTACACACAAACACAGGTAAAAAGTACAGCCATGAAAGGGAAGCAATCAACATACCCTGGCCATGACATTTCAAGAGGCACTTCAGTATGCACTGCAAATAAATCTGCTAGTGCAGTGAAATCACAAATGCCGCAGTGAGGCAAAGAATGTATTGATAAAATGAAATGCCGATGCTTTCTTTTTTTCCCCCTGCTGCTTTATTCAACATCACTCACTCACTTAGTCGATCCTCTCCTACCTTGAGGTGTAGAGGTTTGCCACAGAGGTTGCCAGACTATTCTATCAGCATTTTCTTTGCTTTGTTCCAGTCAAGTCCTCTGTCAGGTAGGGACTGTCCTTGTCTTCCCAATGGACCCTTGGTCGCCCTGGTGGTCTGGTTTTTCTGGTTCTTGGCCTCCCATGCCTGCCATAGTGGCCGATTAATTTTTTTTACCCATTCTGTATACATGTCTGAACCAACTTAACTGTGACTGATCCACTCGAGTTTGTAAGGCCTGTCTTTCCAGATTATGATGTATTGTGTGGTTGCAAACTTAGTTCCTTCTTGTCACTTGGACCACTTTTATCAGACACCTCATTTCTGAGGCTGACTTCTGTGAACTGCTGTCACTGCCCATGACTCACACCTTTATGTCAAGACTGGCAAATAAGTAAAGCGACATAGACGATTTTTATCCTATTGCCAATTTCTCTTTTGCTGAAAAATCCTCTGTTTATTGCCTGGAAAAGTCTCCCACTTGCTGCTTTTCGAGCAGCCAACTCTAACTTTGATGTTTTATTTTGCTGAGAAACCCTCGATTTATTTCCTGGAAAAGTCTCCAACTTGCTGATTTTCGAGCAGCCAACTCTTACTTCAATGTTTTCTTTTGCTGAGAAACCCTCAGTTTATTGCCTGGAAAAGTCTCCCACTTGCTGCTTTTCGAGCAGCCAACTCACACTTTAATGCCTCTATTCCAATTCTACAGTATCTGAACTGGTTCACCTGCCCCAATGCATACTGTCCCCTCATGACCTTATGTTTCTTCTTCTCTCTTGAGATCATCATGGTTTTAGCATTAGAGATACCTCTCCTCTTGAGTTCTTCCTTCGAGACAAGTAATCTGAGCTGAAAATATACCTCTGATTTAGCTATCAGGGCCACATTGTCATTAAATGCCAGCACTGATATTCAGATTGGTCTCATCTTCCACTACCCTACTGAGTACTTCTTTGTCTTCTCCTTAGAGGTCTTGATGACATTGTCCATCAGAAGAATGAAAAGGCAAGGTGACAGAATATCTCCCTGCCTAACATTGCTAGTGGTCTTACATTTTTCTGACTTTTGGTCTGCTGCTCTTATTTAAATTATGCAGTGTTTGTAGAAACTCTGTACTGCACTGATCAGGGGTGCTGGAATGTTTTTCCCTGCCAAGCAGTCCCAGAGCTTGCTCCAGTGAATCTTATCAAATGCCTTTTCTAGATCTAAGAAACATAAGTGCATCTATTCCTTCGAAGTCGGCGTACAGTTGCCCAAGAGGCAGGGAAATAAAAAACGGTTGTACACGCAAAAATCAGGTCCAGGTGAAGGCCAAAAGTCCAAGCGGACGATTAACCGGGACCTTCCACTGGAATTCACAGCCGGTGTTCGATGAAAAAAAATAAAAAAATAAGTGCATCTCAACTCTTATATTCAACGGCTTTTTCACTCATCTGTCTGAATGTAAAGATAAGATCTTAAGTA